GAAAGTAACCATCACTTTTAGAAGAAGAAGAATTTCGAAGGTATTTTAAATCTTTCAATATGAAAAGTTAATACTTTAAATTGTCTAATCATTTTTTGAATTCGTGATTTTTCTTATAATTCTAGTTTTTTGTGCTTTTATGTTTCACTATTTTTTTTCTACATCTTTCTGATCTTATAGATCTGATTTATTTCAGCCAACATATTTGTCCTATGCCCTATCAAATGAAAAATTTAAATTATTAAATTAGCTTTGATAATTTACTAGTGCCACTGAGCCAGTGGCTACTAGTGAGCCACCCAGATGAGTTCAGGCCTTAGGTATTTACTTCTGAAGTTCCCTAAAAAATAAATAAATAAAATAGTACAAATTTGACAAAACAAGAGATCTTGTGTGCGGATCCCCTTTAGAAGTGAGGTCGGAAATAAATAAATAAATCAAGTTACATACTGAATAATTAGCCATTTTTATTTAATATTGTTTTATTTTTATATAAATTATACATATCTACAACAATTAATTTTTAATCTTAATTTTTATTTATTTACTTTAGACCACGGAAAAAATAAAGTAAAAAAGTTCTCGTCTGATGAAAATCTTTTTCTTTATAATTTCTTAATATGAAATCATCCATCAATTAAAAAAAAATGTCGTTGTTTTGGACACCGCTGAGTAAGTGGGGATCAGGGTGGACAGCCCTAATTAGAATTTCTGATAAAAAATTATTATTTTTATTCTCGGATGCTAGATAATACAATTATTTTAAAACATCAATGTTCTCGATACATCTCTTTAGCATCCCAAATAAAGTTATTGTAGAAAATAAAGCATATGAGTTGCTTGTTTCCAAAATTAATCGTAATAGATTTTTTTGAAAACCAAGAGAAGTATCGATTACTGTGTAAAAACAACCAATGAGTCCCATGTTGCAATTTAAAAATAATAAGTAGAATGGAAATAATTTTTTTTCAAAACGGGCCTTTTATTCCAATTTTGTAATGAAACGTACATTTCCTTTAATGTTTAAAAAACGATAATGATTCGTCCAAAACTTTTTTAACAGTTTTATTCAAATCAAATTTATTTTATTGTACAATTTTAAATTTTTTCACCTCTAAATCGCACACTAACATTTTTTTTGGAGCCCCAAAATGTAATTTGAAATTTAATTCGTACCAAATGCGTCCCTATTAAAGCATTAATGTTTTTTAATCACTGTTAAAATGAACAAATATGTGCTTCAGATAAAGAATTAATTTATTTTTAAATATTGGTCGTGATATAACAATTGGAATAAAAAATATATTTTTTCTTCTTTCCTGAAAAATTGTGAATAATAATTAGGCGTTACCTTTCAAAATAAAGGACTCTTACCATGTTTGTATTAATAAACTCATAATATTTATTGTATTAATAAACTCAATGAATTACATATACACTTTATTTTGTACGAGCATAAAAATATTTGTAGATATGTTTTTATATCATAAATCGCATGTAAGAAGCCGTTCCAAGCTATGGGGAGTTGATGTTCTATTGTAGGATACTGCCCTGGAACTATTTTGTTTATTCTATAGATATTATTATTATTATTGTATATGAATAATCAGAAAATAGGATTGGTGATGGTAAGATATTAGAGTGTTAATGGCTGTTCCTCCTAGGAGGGTTGGCCGGGGGTGCCTAAAGGGGACAGTTTCCGTGCGTGTGGTCCCTGGGAGGCGGCGTTGCCAAATAGTGCGGGACCACCCGCCGCTACTAGACCCGTCTCTAACGGAACTTTATCAATAACATCTGCCCTTCATCTAGCCTCCTAACCTCCTCGTCTTCAAAGATTACCTTTCGGTTTTGAATGATGATTCACCGTCGGCGACATTGGCACAAACCTTCATCCGATAACTCAAAGCTGATTCCCTCCGGCTGGAATCTGAGGCAAGGGAGCCTCGGTAGTGTGCTGGAAACATCTTGTACGTCTTCAGTTGATAATTTCTTTATTCCCATTATTAAATAGGAAATTATTTATATTATATATGATATTCGTTAATTGTCGACTATCAGGGTTGGATATACCAATATTTAGTGTCTATTTTGACAATTTGAAGATTCAGTTTAGGGTTTTTATTAAAAATATATGAATTTGTAACCTTCAAGATTTAAAATTTAATGTAATTAACTAATTAAATACCGACCAACGACCAATTCCTTTTTATTTTTAAGAAATCAGACCATCCATGTAGGAAATATGAGACAAAATACTTTAAAATATCAATTAACTTTCACATAGCTTTTATGATCGGGTAATTTAAATAGTCACTACAGTAGAATTGTATTTGGATGTATAATTATAAATATCTGATCAGTGCTATTGCGAAAAACAAGTTTCACTTGTTATTACCAGATTTATAATATGAAGAACTCCTGGTATGATCAATCAGTTATGACATGATTGAGCAAAGAAGAATTCGTTCTCACAAATATCATCAAATAACAAGAAAAGGGTGCCATTTATTTTCGATAAAGGTCTAACATCTTTGAGGCACAAATTTCAACTCTTAACAGTGCGATATTTGGAATCTCATGTCAGTATATTAGTGCTAATGCCAGTTACCCTAATGTATGATATATTCTATGGTATGGTGTTTCATATTACAAATATCAATTGAACTTAAATAATAACCGAGCTCAACAGACCATCGGGAATTTGTCATTAAATTCAGTTCCTTTGAAGAAAATGTAAAAATTAATACTTAAATTGTCTGTCCTACTTGTAATTGTAATGGGAGAGTATCGTATTGCTTCGTTCGCAATAAGTTAGGGAAATATTTTTATTCCAATGAATATTTTCAAAATAAATTCTAGACAGATTTTTATTGAAGTGTAAGAAATATTTATTTTGTATTAACTTATTAGTCCTTTTTTAAAAATAAGTTTCCCCTGTCCAGAAAATTCTTTTTTTTTGTTTTTTTGTTAATTGATCTTACCACTGTTTACTTCTCCGTCAATCTTTTTCCCGTAACTGCTGAAATCTCCTCAGATTCCATTCGCCAAGCAGCTTGAAGCCACTATGAATGCTCTCTCTCGCCTTAAATACTTTCACTGGAATTCCTTACCTTTTCTACGATCCTCCTCTCTAACTTTTGATGGTTGAGTATAAATTGGACAACGTCTTTAGATTTATAGACGTCATATTTTTGTGTTGGCTTGATGTTTATGAATTGGTTATCTGAGCCCAGATTTCCTCATTACTCATGGTCTACGCTCCTTCCTACATATGAATTAATCCTCATTAGTTCTGATCTGTACCCAGTACACATCTTGAGGTGGTCAATCTGTTTGGCGACAAGGACATCTCACGGTTTCAAAATTACCTTCTTCAATAGAATAGTGTAAAATTTAATTTTTTTTTTTTTTAATTTAATCAAAATCTTTATCCTCGGTGAATCCATTTTTGTATACAGTTTATATACTTCAGACTTGAAAGATAAATTTCTTGCAATAAATTCTTAATTTGGAACTTTCGAAATACTCATTCCACATATCTAGGTTTCCCTCTAAGTCGCCGCTCTTCCGATCTGATCCAAGGTCTCCACACGCTTTAAATGGGTTCATAGCCCCGTGGACGACCAGAATCAGGCACAATTGCTGCAGATAAACATTTTAAAAAATCTTTTTAATATACACAATACATTTCTGTTCTGTGCAATTGTCTCGGTTTATAACGAGATGGATTTGGTTCCCACTTTTCAAAAGTTAAATTATCTTCAGAAAGATATTCAAAGGTTGGTATTCATAATACATTGCATCATAATTATTTGTGGTGTTTAGACATAGGATTTGATAAGTCCGCTGCTCGAAATCCAGATATAACAAAAAGTAATTTCTTCTTAAAATTGTAAAATAATAGCATACGGTTTGGTAAATGAAATAATAAAAAATGTAGGTGAAGGTTCTTGTGGGACACTGATGAGTCATACTTTGTAGGACTTGTTCTGATGGTGATCCAAAAACAGACGGTATGTTATGCAAGTAATCATTTCACTTTCACCCAACCCTGAAATGCCATTTTTAACCTGCTTCTGTCATTATTATTTAATTTATATAATTGTTTTTAAGAATATATTTTTTGTTATAAATTTTATAACTGATTGCGGTTTATTATTTTAAATAATGAATCTTCGTTATCAACTAAGAAAGAAAAATGTAACCTCTCCCTTAAAATTTGAGTCTTTGGTTTATTATTTGTTTATTTTTTTAGAGTGGTGGATCGATTTTTCTCTTTTTTTTTTTAATATCCGGCACCAAGGTCAGGAGTCACACAATTATGGTCCTAGAAACCCACATTATCATCCGCCATTTTGTTTCGAAAATACATTCGGTTAGAAGTTTCATACGACCATCTCCACTATTTTTAAAGATAGAAGAAACATCTAAAGTGTTTTTGATTCATTATACTGAGCCTTTAAAAAACAAAAGTTAATTTTTTAAACTTTATCATTTTTTCCTAGTTAAAATTTTATTTTTTGCATGTTTGAAAAATGTTGGTGTAGCATGTAGATTTCTGAGAAAGTCAGGAATCAGTTGGAAATTTCATTTATCAAAATTTATAGACACTTTATAGTAGTGATACTTATTATATTACCATTATCAGTTTTAGAAGTACATTTATTTAATTTCAGTATTATTTTGAGAAATTATAGCACAGAGCTTTCAAATCATTTTAAAATTAGCATACTATATATGATTGCATGTCTTATAAAAAAAAATAAACAATTATGTTTGATAAATTTATCACCCATGATATGTAGAACAGTCGACTAGCCTCCTTCAATAATAAACAATTATCTTCTATATTTTATTTTTATAATAACATACAAATGCATGTCAACAATAACAATTACTCACGATGTTATGATAAATCATTATATGAGAATATTTCATATATGCTGCTTTCATATTTTAATTTTTTTAAAAGTTAACTTTAATGTATAAATTTAATACAGGGAAAAGCCGAAGGATCTCGAACAGCAATTTGGGTCCGAAGCAGAATACAAGCTGAATTATTTCACCTTGGATGCCTTCTTCATTGTCATCCTGGAAAAGTAATTTTTGTTGCCGCTCTTCTTCTAGCTTCTTTCTCTGTTGGTCTGAAAAGTGCTGTTTTTCATACGAAAATAGAACAACTTTGGATTGAAGGTATGTCTTTTTATTTTTAATTTTTAGTTGACAACATTGGTAACCATTGTAATTATTTTATTTCAAAAGTTGAATCAAATGCATTTAAATACTATATGAATACAAGATAATAAGTTCAAACCGTATTACAAACTAGATCTGAAAATTATGTTAAGTATAAGGAGTAGGGTGCAAATGTGGAAACTCACTTCGTTTTTTTTAATATATATTGTTACGTTATTCTTTGTTGAAATTTATCTGAACTTAGCTTATAATGTCTTGCCTGTGAAAAGTACACTAATAAATAGAGTTATTTTGGTAATAAAATAAATTAATTGTTAGACTGTATTGCATTTTTAGGGAACTAATAATTGCATATAAGTGTTGGTAATGTGTACACACTCTAAAATTAGTTTACATTAAGGATTTGTAGAATAAAAAGTATTTTAGTGTACAACACTTTTTTTTTACTACAAAAGAATACTATTTTATAAAACCCAACTTGGATTAGAAGTCGAAAAAAACATTTTACTTCATTTATTCTCAATGTGAAACTTAATCATGTTTTCTGCATCTAACTTTGGTTTTTCATTTTTTTGCTTTCATAAACAAAGTCTAGTGACTTAAAACATTATATCCCATTTGGGTATTGTTGAAACATTTACATTAAATTCTCAAGAGTATGTTTCCATATGCACATTAACAATTCAGAATATGAACAATTTATCTAAAAAAACTATCAGTTTAGATTTGATTAAAACCATTAGTACTTTCTGTTATTGTCCCTTTATGAGTTGTATGACATTAATTGTATTACCTATCAAACAAATAGACACCATAATAAAATAAAACCTACTTTAAGAAATTTTAAAAACTTAACAACATAACTTAATAAGACTGACTGCTTGCTTTGAAGTTTAAAAATAAACTGCTTCTCATTCCATTAAAGTAGAGCACTCTACAACCCGATACTAGATGTTTCACATTTTCTTAAATCTTCTACATTTGCATCCTTCCCTACACCCTCATATTCTTATCACTCATAATAACAGTTTTTTTCTTAATGATTTTCTAATTACTTACTTCTTAATACTAATTACAATTACAAACTTATAAAAAAAATCAGTTTAAGCATTCACTTTTAATTAAATTATATTTCTTATTATTGCAATCCAAACTACATAATTATTAATTAGTCTATATTGGTTTCAAAATTACACCCCAATAGGCAAATTACAATTACACCTCCCCTCCCAAAGAGTTAATACTGTCAATTTTAGCATTGTTGTTAGTATTAAGTATTTTCGAGATAATCTTGCTGAATTCTTGAAACACTAATCACCTTCCAAATGTGCTGACAATCTCTGTGGTGTAGTAGGTAGTCTCACTGCTTATGAACCTGGAGATATGGGTTCCATTCCTTGAACCTGAGAAATTTTCTCAAAGGGTTTAAGGTCTGGATGAGGGTCTGCTCAACCTCTTGAAGATAAATGAGTAGCTACTTAATTAATAAAGAAGTAGTGGCCGGTCTTCATAGACCTCTAAATGCCAATTACCATCATAGTGGCAACCAATTTGGTAAGCCTTATCTCTTTCCAGAGATGTTTATATACATTGTAAATATTTTTTTTTAATTATTTATTAGATAAAGTGTAACACTGCATACTTCACTCTATTGCATGAAAACAATTATTTTTTTTATATTTACTATTAGAAGGGGGAAATGTTGAACGAGAACTACGCTACAGGCAAATGGCTCTGGGAGAAGACTCTCTTGACACTCATCAACTGCTTATTCAGACAGGAAAGTCTCCGGAATCTTCAGTTCTTCATCCAGCTAGCCTACTCAAACACGTAGAAATTGTAAAAGTTGCAGTACAGCATAGTATTCAACTTTTTGATGTGTAAGTTGGATGGATATTTAATTTTAAGTTAATATTTTACAGAAGCCATTTTTTGTAGGACTATTAACTTTAGTTTTAGCTTATAATCGTTCAAGATCAAGATGAAACACGATTAAGAAAGCTAACTCAAATATAAGCTTATATATTGAATTAAAATATTTGAAATAACATCATTCACAAATTGAACATGTATCATCAAGTAACCGATAACTTAAAGCTCAAAAGTAAATACGTATTGGTACTCCAAATAATATTTTTTGATTAGCAAATGCTATTTTTTACAATTAATAAATAAGTTTTTTTTTTTAGCAAATAAATTATTATTTACTAAAATTACTAAATTACTATATTATTAATAAATGAAGTAAATAAATTACTTCAGATATTTTCTTCTACTTCTTAGTTAGCTAATATTTTGAAGCAGTATCTATCAGTTGATCATAATTGAACTTATGTTTTTTCAGAACTTGGAGACTAAAAGATATGTGTTATACACCAAGTATTCCTAATTTTGACCTCCACTACATCGATCAGGTAATGCAAAGTTCTTATTCAATTATAAAAAAAATTAATAAAAAATTAATGAAAAGTCTTTTTTTCAAACAAACATTTAAATTTACAGATATTTGAAAATATAATACCGTGTGCCATAATAACCCCATTAGACTGCTTTTGGGAAGGATCCAAACTATTAGGACCCGATTATCCAGTTACTATCCCGTAAGTTTAACCATTTTAGTATTCTTTTATTAACTTGAATTAGCTGAAATATTTTATAGTTAATTTTTGAAAACAAGTTCTCTCAAATAAATATATTTTTTTTTAATATTTATTTTCTTGGATTTAATTACAAAATACTATTTAATAAAACTCTGAACACAACAATACCTTTAAAAAGTGTCTAAAGTGTTTTAAAATATTTGTTGATTAGGTATCATCTACTGTTTTATTAAATAATTTTAAACTAATGATCTTTAAAACTGTGTGAACAATAATATATGGTCATAGAAGCATCAGGATATTATACCCTTATAATACTCAGAAATTATAGTTTCCATAAATATACTTGCACCAGAATATTATTTAATAACTATTGACCATAATTGTTTTTGTATATTTTCTCAGTTAATTTTATTTTATTTTTATGTTTAATACTAGATTCAGTGGAGAACTAGGATCTAAAGTGCGTTGGACAAACTTGAATCCACAAAAGATTTTGGAAACTATGAAGAATTTAGATACTGGATTCCCTTATGAAACTCTTGAACAACATATGAAAAGGGTAATATTGTTAGTGCCATTTAGTGGAAATTACATCCAGTTTTAATAATGCTTGATATTATATATGTCAAATAAAATATAAGTCACATTATTATATCAAATGTGATATATCTTTCATCAATGGCTCAATATAATTTTTAAAAAAGATAAATATATTTTGAAAAATTTTCAAATTGTTTACATATCAGTACGTTTTTAAAAAAAATTGTTCATTTATTACTGTTTCTTATTTCAATCATCCATCAAATATATATATATATATATATATATATATATATATATATATATATATATATATATATATATATAATTAAATTCTGAGTTGATCTGTTGTTATTTATAAATAATTTTATTAATTGAACTATTTTATAAATTTTATTAGTATTTTAAAAAATATTTTCTTGTTTAGGCTGGAATTACTACTGGATACCAAGAAAAACCTTGTTTAAACCCAAGAGATGAAGAGTGTCCAGATACAGCACCTAACAAGCGAAGTGCACAGGTATTATTTCGATTTTATTTGTTTCTCCTAATACAATATTTTAATTTATACCTTTTTGTTTAAAATAACTTTTTTTTTTTTTTTTTTTAAAGGAGCCTAATGTTGGTACAGAGTTAACTGGTGGATGCTATGGATTTGCAGCCAATTACATGCATTGGCCTGAAGAACTAATTGTTGGTGGAGTAAAGAAAAATAAAACTGGCCACATACAAAGGTATTTATATTGATTATAGTTAAATCAGCAATTTCTTATGAATTAATAATAATTCAATTTATATTATTTTTACAGAGCTCATGCCCTCCAAACTGTAGTACAATTAATGAGTGAAAAAGAGCTTTATGAATTCTGGTCAGAGAGCTATAAAGTTCACTCTATGGATTGGAGCCAAGAAGCTGCAGCAGTGGTATTAGATACATGGCAAAAAACATTTTCACAGGTTATTTTCAGCTTTTAATATAATATTGCAGTAATGAATACAAATAAACATATTTGGACCAATTTATGGTTTATGGTTTAGACTTTATTTTTATTATGATCTATCAATCCTTGACTATATTTATGAATGTGAAAATTTTAATGATGAGAGGCTTTTTATGTAAGCAAGGTTCTGCTCACTTGAGCAGTAGTACAGCCAGGATTAATATCTGGGAGGCTTCTATGTATGCTTATACATCCATATATACATAGCTTATAAAATCAGGGTTTGAAATTGATAATTATTTATATCACAAAATCATGTAATAATTATTATATTTGATTTGTAATTTAAAAATCATGCCTGATTTATGAATAAAAATTTAAATCGATCTTTGATTTTTATTTATTCGTTTAAAAATAATGATTACTCATTGAGTGATACGGTTTCACATAAATAATAATGATTAAATTGTTATAAACAAAAATTTGATCAGAAAATAAAAATCACCTTTTACAAACAAATTAAATTAAGTATTAATATATATATATGTATACGTTATTAATGTACAGATTTTTTAATATTGTATTTCTGAAATTGCTTTAATTGTGCACTTGGTACTTGCACTATATATCTGTACACATATATATACATTTTTTTTTGTAAGCCGAAATTTCTAATAAATTTTGGAAGTAAATACGTTCTGTTCCTAATGGTTTACAACAATATTCTCCAACTACTGTTCCAGACTCAAAATATATCATCGAGATTAGAAAAGAAATATATTCCTGATTTAAAAAAGTATTACTCAAGAATTATCATTTTTGTTAATTGTAAAAATTTTGTTAAAAGATAACGATCAGGATATCATTTTCATCACTTATGATCAAAAATAAAAATCCCTTTCAATAAAAATCATAAAATGATTTTTAAAAATTTCAGATAAAAATTTTGATCAGATTTGATTTTAATTTTTTAATTATCAATTTCAAACCTGGTATATAAGAGGCAACATTTTTTGTTAATTTACCTGCTTGTTTATTTCCAATTACTTTCAAATCATCTTTAACACAAAGTAACATTTGACATTGTTGCCCTCATGTTCAAGTGTTAATAAATGATGTCAAATACTGCCCAGAAGTCTATAGTGTATAACCACTTCTATATACTTTTATAGGGGTGTATATATGTCCACTGTGACAAATAAACAATTAATTATTTAATGTTTTTTTAAATATACTAAAAGGTGCAATCATGTTCATAATTTTAGGAAGTTCAACGCTTAATGATGAAAGACAATGATACATCTCCATACAAAGTTTTTTCTTTCTCTACTGCTACTCTTAACGACATACTGCAACAGTGTTCTCAACTGAGGCTATTTAAAATCTCTATTGGATACATAATAATGGTAAATAAATCTCTAGGTTTATTTTTAATTAAACAATTAATAACAACTATTAAAGATTGCAAATAGCAAGTATTAGCTGAATTATAATTTAGTCAATTACAGTAAACTACAATGTATTATATTGGTTTAGGCAGTCTATGCAGCAGTATCTCTTATTCGTTGGAATGATCCTCTGAGATCTCATTGCAGTCTTGGTATTGCAGGAGTTATTCTCGTATCAGCTACAGTTTCTGCAGGACTGGGTTTTTGTGCTGTGTTAGGAATAGCATTTAATGCATCAACTACTCAGGTAGAACAATTGTGAAGTTATTAAAATTAATTTTTCATCAAGCATATCATCAAACTAATGAAAAAAAATTGTTTTTCTAGATTGTTCCGTTTTTGGCTTTGGGTCTTGGTGTTGATGACGTATTTTTGTTGACTAACACATATCTACAACAAGCCACAAATAATACACCAGCTGAGGTAAATAATATTTTTATGAACAATTTATGATAGTTTAATAGAATACAAGAGTCCTAAAGTTCGAGTAGACTTTCTTCTTATTATTCTTGTACATATTCATTAGTACATTATGTTACATATAATATAATTGTATTGTAATCTCAGCATCAAAGGGTCTAAACAACCACACATATGAAAAACCTAATCTCTGAAATATAAGCCTTATATAGTGAAAAGTTATACTAAATAAAAATACATATATTTAAAGTTATTTTATAACTTCTCATATCAATTTTTTTTGTTGGAGAATTGTTAAGTCTAGTGCCATAGTTACGCGATGTTATGTTACTGGTACTGGTACTAATTAAGATAGAGAGATGAGTCTAATGCACTTAATATACTTAATATACTTAATATACTTAAGTGGTGCCTGCCCATCTCATTCTACTGTACAGTTTTCAGAGCAAGACACTCTAGGGTTTCAAGACCAGATTATCTAAATTTATAGCTATACTACTTCTTCCACAACCGATGACTTCCAAATGTGTGGCTACAGGCAATAGTGCCAATATTTAATTCTATGACTAAACATAGACTCCCATAGTGATGTTATGTTATTGTTGAATGAATTTATTTGATCTCTAAATACCTTGATATGGCTTATATTTGATACACAGATCTAGCTTGTGTGTTGTTTTTTTATTTAAGATTAGAACCTAATTTTATATTATGCTACATAAAATATATATATATATATATATATATATATATATATATATATATATATATATATATATATATATATATATATATATATATATATATATATATATATATATACATATATACATATATATATGTATGTATTTTAATTTTAAAATGAAATTCTACATAGCATCTAGTCACTGGGATTAATGTTATTTAATCTTTATTTTTAACAAATTGAGTTAATTAAACATAAGCTAAAGAATATGAGGAGTAAGTTTACTATAATTTATTCATAAGTATGATCTGAAATGTGTTGATTTAAATATTTAATAGACACTGATAATGAATTTATTTCCAAATAAAACAGAATAGATAGTAAGTAGTATAACTATTATGAATTTGTAACAAATATTGGGGTAAATAATTTTAAATGTCCATAAAATTGAATTTACCAGATGTCTGATATTAGCACTAGTGCTGTAATTGATGGGTTTAATTGTTTTGTCAAAGGATCCTTTTTATCAACACCACAGGTTTGGTTTTGCATGATAGCTAAGTCTTCATAGGAACCAAAAATGTTTCCTTGAAACCATCACAAAATAAATATCTCCTGATTAAGGTGGGAATCAAGTCTAGACCACTCTCTGGACCTTTTCATCTACCTGCTTAGACATCAAGGCATCATCTAGTGCCTACAATGTCTAATAATCCAATAAAAAATGGTAGAAAAATTTAAATCAGCCGTGTTATTTTTATATCATCAATTTTCTCAGTTTATTGTAAAAACTTGGAAGTATGAATTTGTCAATACTATACTTCCAAATTTTCTATAAGATTGTAAAATCTTCACCATTTCATGAAAGGGTTTTAAAGGCAAAGGTTTTTAAAGATATTTTAAAGATAAAATATTTTACTTGAAGAACGGTGAATAAATTAGAAACACATTTCAAGTGTAATTCACTTGTCTTTAACAGTTGTTTATATTTAAGGTTAAAATGAAAATTTTCATGTTGTTAAATGAATTATAAAAATCAATTGCTCGAGAGGTAATTAGCTCTATGGGGCAAACTGCCACATTGATGAAAGAAATTAAGTTTGTTCTTGTAGATTTGAGTTATTAAGTGAATCCACTAATACAAGTATGTAGATGTGGTAACAATATCTATGTTCTAGGTTTACTTAGCCTTATTTTTATTATTTATATTGATAATGCAAGAAATATAATGTTTTTTTTTTTCTAGGAACAAACTGGTTTATTGTTGAAGAAAACAGGCTTAAGTGTTCTTCTGACATCTCTTAGCAATATGTGTGCAATGTTTGCTGCTGCCATCATACCTATACCAGCATTGAGGGTATTTTCATTGCAGTCAGCTGTGCTTGTATTATTCAATCTTGCTTCTGTTCTTTTAGTTTTCCCAGCTATTATTAGCTTGGATCTTAGGAGGAAAAATAATGGAAAATATGATATTTTCTGTTGTTTGCCTGCACCTGGTATTATATCACATGCACCAGTTCCCAGAAGATCAGCGGCCAAACTACAGACAATTGCACGTGCTCTTCCTCCTGATAGACAGCAAACTGTGACAGTTCTAGCCCCACCAAAGAAGCAGGTACAAATATATTTACTGTATACTGACAAAAATCATTTTTAGAAGGCATGTGGAGCTTGCTTTCATATCTTATTTCTTATTTTAAATTGTTCATAATTAAAATTTAATCGATCTCTTAAAGTATTATTGAATGCATCTGCTATGTTTCTAATATTAATTATTAGATTTATTTCCATTCCAGATTAAGCTGATGACATTTCAATCTATTTTGTTGCATACTTTTCTTTCTTTTTTCTCATTAATGAAATTATAAATGCCAACATATAAATTAAATTATTATTATAAAAATTAAAATTATTATATGAGTTTTTGATTCTTATTAACATTATTTTATGTAGAACGTCTCATATTTAATATTTTAAAATTACAATATGATTATGTATAAAAATTATTACTAATACTTATTCTTACTTATTCACTTCCTTAATATATTAATGAACTAGAATTGAATTACAGTTCCTATAAGTTATTTTAGTAGTAGGAATTCAGAATTGCTGCCAATTCTGTTTTTCTTCAGAAGTTATTAAATTTTTTTTTTGGTATTATCCTATACTTGTTGATAAATAGTTCACTATGGAATTTCAATGGTAGGTGGATTTACTATACTGTTCTTGAATCAACTATCATAGTGAAAAAAATTATTTTTTATGGTCTAGAATGGGATAACTATTCAAAACTCTTTATTACAGTAAAAATTTTATTAAAGACAATTACAGAAAAATATAACAAGCAAATTTAAAATTTTTTAGAATTTTAATATTTTGTGTCACTACCTCACTCCTTCACAAAGATCATCTTGTACTTATCTGGTTAGTTTGGATTTGGTGGTAGGCACATAAAAAAGAGGCTACCAATCACAAAATCCCACAAGCTGTTCTTCTGTTGTGATATAAAAGCCAGATTTGTTATGTTTCTTACAAATTTGTGGGAGCTGGGTAGCTCAGTTGTAAGCACTGACTTCCAAAGCTCAAGGTCCCAGATTAGAGTCCGGCTGATAACAAATAATTTTTTATTAGCTATAGATTCAGGAGATCCTCCTTGGGCACACTAAGCCTCTATAAAGTGGGTACTGTTAATTAAATAATTAAGTACGGTGCAAAACCGGGCGGATGAGTGTGTGAATATGAGTGTGGCAGTCCAGCCACATCCCTGCATAACCGTAAGCCTTGAAACAGTACTTTCATACAAACTTCTGAATCCCAAGACCCTTCATGGTACAGATATTTTTTTTTTGTCTTACAAATTTGTGTTGACATTTCCCAGAATTGTCTAACTAAGCATTTTATTAGTAGTATCACAACAATGGTTGATCTAGTCAGCCGAGATTTGGAAGACCTAGTTCTCATAAAATGTAATAATGAGCCATTAGAAAAGGTAGATAACTACCAGTACTTGGGCACAATTTTCAGCAGAGATGGAAGGATTGAGCAGGTTTTAAATAGAGTCAAGGAGGCGAATGGTGTGTTTTACTCTATCTGCACTACAATATTAGGGAACAACAGGTAAAGAAGAAAACAAAAATAGCTTTGTTTAAAACAGTATTTCTGCCTGTCCTTTTGTATGGTGCAGAGACCATTGGAGGAATAAAAAGATAAGAGAAGAACTGAATATAACGCCTGTAAAATAATTCATGGAGGAGCGGCAACTGAAGTGGTTTGGTCATGTGTACTGGGGTGGGTGATAGTCGAAAGGCCAAATGGTTCCTGGAAGCAAAACCAGAGAGAAGGCGGCCTAGAAGCAGGACCAGGCTGTTGTATTGTGACTACATGGAGAGACTTGGACGAGCCAGAGGTAGCACCATGGTGGATATGAGGAGGGCCAGTGATAGAGATCAGTGGACAAGATGGGCTGAGGCTGTTCCTCCACACTGATGGCACTAAGGAGGTTATAAAAATATGCTTTATACATCCATGAAATGATTTTATATTTCACTTCTTCTTTCACACAAGTATAATGAAATAGTTTTTTTAACAATGTCCATTGGCTTGATTAGGTGGATTTTAAATACTTTTTTCAAACTTGAAAATATTTTAAAAGGTTATATTTAGTTAGTGAATTTTATTCATTAGCAAAAGAAGAAGAAAAAAATATTAGTGGAACCAATAAAGTAGATTTAGTTGAAACATGCCTGGCTTGCTCTAATTTTTTTTACTGACAAGAAACTGCTACAGATGTGGGATCATAAATTACAATTATTTTTTTTATACTTGGTCAAAAATATTAGACACTAGTCTGAAGGTTCTTTTTAATGTGCCCTATAAGCCGAGAAGAAATTGATTTGACTCAATTTCTTTACCAGTAATCAAGCTAGATTACATATTTAAGATTATGTATTGTTCTTTTATTCTGCTAAAAATATTAAGTGTATTTTTTTTAGTTTTGTTATTTAATAATTCCTTATTATTGTTTGTTTCAGAATATGGATATAAACCACCCAAAAAGAATTTTAAATGGAGATAACCCTGATAGAAACACTAAAAATAATGATGTTAATACCAGCCAAAGTTTACTGAATTTAATAGCAAAAGCTTATGCTAAAATTATTAGTAAACATGGTGTTAAAGTGTTTTCTGTGATGGTGTATTTGATGGTGTTGTGTGCTAGCGTCTGGGGTACAATGAAAGTGAATGATGGACTTGATCTGACTGATATTGTGCCTCAAAACACAAATGAATATGATTTTTTAAATGCACAAGGAAAATATTTTGGTTTTTATAACATGTATGCAGTTACACAGGGAGATTTTGAATATCCAACCAACCAAAGATTACTCTATGAATACCATGATGCATTTATGAGAGTTCAAAATATAATCAAGAATGATGATGGTGGTCTCCCAAAGTTTTGGTTGGGTCTTTTCCGAGATTGGTTAATAGGTAAATTATACATTATTTTTTTGATACTATGTTTTTGTCTTTAAAATCAATTAATTTTATTTTAAACTATTTAAACTGTATTTTAATTGTGAGTAAGGTTTGTATTTTTTATTAAACACATAAATAAAAATATTAATACATTTTTTTTTGTTTTTTTAGGACTACAAAAAGCTTTTGATCGTGACTGGAAGCGTGGAAGTATAAACCAAGAAAGATGGTTTCCTAATGCTTCTGATGAAGGCATATTGGCATATAAACTATTAGTTCAAACTGGCCATGTTGACAACCCCATAGATAAATCACTTGTTACACAAGTCAAATTAGTAGATTCTGAAGGGATCATCAACCCGAAAGCATTTTATAACTATTTATCTGCATGGGTGTCAAATGATGCTTTTGCTTATGGTGCTTCTCAATCAAACTTACATCCAACCCCTAAAGAGTGGTTTCATGTCGCCAATGATTTTGATTTGAAAATTCCTAAAAGTGCACCACTTGTATATGCTCAGCAACCATTTTATTTACATGGCCTGAGTGACACAGGGACCATTACAAAAATGATCACACAAGTCAGAGAAATATGCAACAGATTTGAGGCAAGAGGTCTTCCGAATTTTCCATCTGGGATCCCATTTCTGTTTTGGGAGCAGTATATAAGCCTGAGAAAGTCTCTAACTATAGCAGTGGCTTTAGCATTGTTAGCTGTGTTTATTGTCATAAGTTTATCTCTCTTGAATGTATGGACAGCAGTGCTTATCACATTTATGATTGCTGGGATGATTTTACAACTTTTTGGCATTATTGGTGCTCTAGACATAAAATTGAGTGCTATTCCTGCAGTTATTCTGATAATTGCTGTTGGATTTGGAGTTAGTTATACCATCAACATGTCATTGGTGAGTTATAATTCAGATCAATACTAAGTTATTTCTGTTTAACTTAATTTATCATTTATTCATTTTTAACTATTTTTATCATAATTCAGTTATTCCATTTAATTTTATTATTTATTGATTTATTTTTTACAGAGCTTCATAACATCTATTGGTAACAAAGATAGAAGAACAACAATGGCTATAGAGCATATGTTTTCATATGTAACTAGGGGTGCAATTACTATGACCCTTGCTTTAATGATGCTTGCTTTCTCAGAATTTGATTTCATTGTTAAGTAAGTCTATTTTAATTTGTCACAATTTTATTATTCACATTGCTCCTGTGTTTATATAGGTATTATTATTATTATGAATAATTCCTGAATTATAAACTTCTATAATAACTGACTGGATAATTAGACAGCATTTGGCATAAAGGAACCAATCCACAAAATATGCAAAAATGATTTAGAGGTGATTTTGAAATGCTTACTATCTTCAACAGTAAAGAGCAATAGCTTAGCTCAGGTATCTTCGATGAAAAGTAAAGTTGAAATAAATATTGACATTAGATTCTTTTTATTTACTAAAAATACAAAACAACAATAAAGTAAGTTTTGATAAATCTATTGATATATTAGCAATATTTTGGGATGAATAAAATGTAGAGTAAAATTAGGCTAGAGATAAAATCAACTTATTTGAAAGCTTCCTGATTTCCATGGTCATTTAACTTTGACTTGAGTTAACTCAAAGCATTTGTTATATAGATTGGTTTATTTATGCTAAATGCTATGCAATAGTCATCTCTAATTGATTTTACACTGTCATTATATTTACAAATAAAATTATTTGTTATACTGTATTCTATCTTAGTTTTTGTTTTTTCTAGGTGTTTCTTTCACATACTGCTGGCTTTTGTCGCAGTTGGACTCGTCAATGGTCTTCTTTTTTTACCAGTAATTTTATCACTAATTGGACCTGAGGCAGAGGTAATAATAATTGAATTATAATTTGTCAAATCCTAATTGTATTTGTTAAAATTTTCATTTAATTTTCTATGAATGGTAACACTTAAGTTACATAATTAATTGGTTCCTTTAAGAGTGAACTCATAATTATTTTATTTTCTGTAAGCCCCCTCGACAACCCCGCCCTTACCTCAAGGAACATGTGAATATTCTTTCAAAAGTCTTAATAACACAATATTGTCAGAAATCAGAACTAAACATATAAAATTGTAACTATTTTTATAGTGCCATTATATTCTTTGCATTAATTGACTCACATTTATTGAAAATTGAAATGGGAAAAATTCTATTTCCGAAAAAAAAATTAAACATTCTAACATAAACTTCTCAGTAATATCAAAACCGTATAAAAACAAAAGTTAATTTTTCATTTCAAGTCCTGATTTTAACAAAATATAAGATTGTATTAATGGAAAATACAATATTTTATGCATTGTACAATATATCTATTGTAGATAAATATATTGATTCCTTTTTTTTTTTTTAGTTTAGTTTTAATAAACCAAGAATCACTATTTGGCTTGTATATTTCATTGTCACTTCAGATGTTTTGTGGGAAAAATCATATTTTTTTAATTCAATTTATTTTTTCCCATAAAATATTTTTCTTTAATAAAAACATACTGAATGCTACTCTCAATACTACATTTTGTTAAAATAGGCCTAAAACTAAAAAATAGTAAGCTTAAAACTATACATTAAAAACACACACTAATTATTTTTTGTCTGTTTTAAGTTACTTTATTGAAAATATCTATTAGAAATAATAGTAACTGAATGAATATTTTTCTTGTTTCATCGCAGGTGAGACCTCTTATGCATGTTAATCGAATATCAACACCATCTCCAGAACCAGTGAAAAAAATTAGACAGCAATCATGTAGAACAGGAACTACTCCTCCTAGAAGAGGAACAACAAATGGACAATGTCATAGAGAACCATCTCTTACCACAATTACAGAGGAACCATCTTGGCACTCGACAACACATGAGATTGTGGTTGAGCCTGAGTTTGTTGTTGAAACAACTACCTGCAACCATACTCATGTAAGTAGAATTATTGTATATAAATATACTATTCAATGGTAAAAATATGATTAGTTTTACTTCCACTTCATGCAAATCATCTTTGCATTGCTTGTTAATTTTTCAATTAAAGATTTTTTTTTCTGATTACAGCCAAGAGCAAATGGTAGTGAAAATTCATCTTGCAGTCAAAACTCAGAACCTCATCCTTCAGCACAGCCACACATCACAACCAAAGTTACTGCAACTGCTAAACTTAAAGTTGAAGTTCACACACCTATAGGTATTACAAACTTCAGTTTATTTCTTTTACAGTAATTACTTTAAATTTCTTTTATGTTCTTTACTATATATTTATATATATATATATATATATATATATATATATATATATATATATGTATTTTCTTCTCTAAATCTACATTTTTGTATATAGTTTACAATACTATATAATTGTTTAAGTTATCATTGTTTATATTCATTCAAAGCTCTTAAGTAACAGACATAAATAGTTTATTTTCTTTACTTACTTTTCTTTAGTTTTATTTTATTTTTGTTGCTACAAGGGTTTCTCATAAAATTAATTTAATGTTCCTTTCCTATTTTATTTATTTACTTATTTTTATTTTATTTTTCTTAAGCAGCGATATTGCATGATTGTGTTTCTATTGTTCAGCTGCTTTCATTAATATATATTTAAGCTATGTATACAGCTGTTTTATTACTTATGTTTCAGTTATTCTTTTATGTATTAGATCTTTAGGCCAGATTTAATTCTAATTTGTATGAATAATATTGTTGTTCTTAAGGGATGTTGTCCCACAATAAAATTGATATTTCTGTTCTATTCTATTCTACTTTTAGTTGTATAAAAAAAAAAAAAATCTTATATTTGTATTATCTTTCTTACATCATATATTTAACTATTATAGGTTCCATGGATTCCTACACTAAAACTTGTAGAAGCAAAACTTCAAACCGAGATTCAAGTTCCAGTTCAGATTCTGATTTGGGGAATCGTTCTACTTGAAAGTATTGTAAGTATACTCCATCCAAAAAAAGTATATATATAATTTTTTCTACTACTTTTTATGGAACATTCTTTTCATAATTTTAAGAACCTTTTTATAAAAACATAGACTTCATTTTTAATGCATTACTCTAACTATTGGGTTTGGAAGTAAGTCCTTTCGGTTTTTCTGTTTATTTTGATGTCACTATGCTACACTTCTTATCCGATGAATTAATCCCTAAGGTGGATTGTTTATCCCGTTTGTAATATGTCAAAAATTATATTCGTTAACTCTTGTTGATACTAGTTTAGTATTGTTTTTGCTATTGCACTATGAATATGGATGAAAATATCATTCATTATTAGCATATTTTGTTATATTATTATAAAAAAGGTAAAATTTGCAGTGTTTATGGGGATGATGCCTTAACCGAACGCAACCTATCAATATTGGTTTGCCAAATTTCATTGAGAAAATTTTGACACCAATGATGCTCAATGGTCTGGTCACCCACATGAAATTGAACCGAGCAATGTTAAGGCCATTGTTGATCAAAATCCCACCCAATCAGTGTGAGAGATTGCTATAGCCCTAAATGTGTCACACATAGAAAACCATTTACACAAGCTCGGCTATGTTTCCAGGCTTAATGTTTGGGCCTCTCACATGATTTTTTTTTTTTAAATCACAAAAAGTGTTATAACTTCAATACTCAATACATTATTGAAATATCATACAACATCTCTACCCCTACACCTAAATCTAAACAAATTTCCTTGAGAGATCTTGATTCCTTAACCATTGAAAACATTAACCCTTTTCTCAATACCCTTTCAGCTTCCTTAGAACCCATTTATTCTCTCCCCTCCATTGATGACATGTTTGAATGCCTTTCCTCCAACCTCTTCGATTTCCTCAATCATCACACACCTCTAAAAAACGTATCTTTAGACGTCCTCCCGCTTCTTGGATTAATACCGAAATAAGAGAACTAATGAGGAGAAGAGAGGCTGCTAGAAGACACTACAGACATACTCGATTACCTCAGCATTATTCCAGATTTAAATCCCTACGAAACCCCACAAATGTCCCTACATCACGCCAAATCCCAATGCTTCAATAACATTTTATCCCAAGAACCCAACCCTAAATTCAAATGGAAAATCCTTAAGAACATCTCTGTTAGCTCGAAAACCTGCACACAGTATCCAGTCGATCTGAACAAGCTAAATTCCTTTTTCACTAACCATTTCCCATCCATATTTTCATATGACCGCTCATCTTTTTCCGTCACCGAAACCTCCTTCGATCCTGATAAGTTTTATTTTTCCGATATCTCTCCTACTGACCTAATCTCTGCCACCTTTAAATCCAAAACGAACGATTATGGTCTTGACCCAAATACCTGTTAAAGTTATCAAACTTTGCCTTCCAACCTTATTTCCTGCACTTCTACACACATATAATTTCTCTCTCCAAAATTATATTTTTCCTAAAACCTGGAAAAGAGTAATAGTCCACCCACTGAACAAAGTTCCTACTCCTTTTCAGCTTCCGACTTCAGACTCATCTCCATTTTATCAAATCTATCCAAGCCTCTAGAAAGATTAGTCCACTCTCAGTTAAACAGCTTTCTCGAGCAAAACCATCTCCTCAATCCTTTACAATCTGGTTTCCGTTCCCATTATTCCACCCAGTCTGTCTTGCTAAGGATTTCTCAAGACCTCCAATCCGCCATATATAAACAGAAAATCTCCATCCTAATCCTTTTTGACTTTTCCAAAGCATTTGATTCCATCAATCATGACATCCTTCTCTCCAAATTACAAAGCCTACCCATATCAGGAGTTTATACCTAAAATGGTTCCTCTCCTTCTTGTCCAATCGATCTCGGACAGTTGTAATTCCAAACAAACCTCCATCATCTCCCCTTCAACTAATACGAGCTGTTTCTCACTCTCCCCAAACCTTTTCTCTATTTATATTAATGACCTTTCTGATGCCATTCAGCACTCCTATTACCACCTATATGCCGATGATTTCTAAATTTATCAATCATTCCAATCTGAGATGCCTGAGGCTATCGACTGCATCAAAAGATGAGCAGAAATAAATGAATTAAAGCTAAATGCAGATAAAACTAAGGCAATTCTCATTGGGTCCAGACGTCTCATTAGATCCCTTTCTTACTTTCCTCTACTTTACCTCAATAACCGTCCCATCCATTTTTTCCCTACAGTCAAAAACCTAGAAGTACCCTTTGACCAGAATCTCTTCTGGAATAACCATATGTCCCAGAGTACCCAAAAATCCATAACTGTCCTATAATAAAATAAAATATTCTCTTTATGTTTTATCTAATCTTTTTTACTTAAAAAATGTTCATAGAGGTTTATACTCTATCTAATAATAATAATAATAATAATAATAAAAGGCTTAGCGAATCCAGCGGTTTGATGCCGCACCACCAATCGCTTATTACACACCTCCCTCCACCATTCGCCATCTAAACCCAGTCCCTTCAGATTGGCTTTAACGCAGTCTTCCCACCATTGCTCCGGTCTTCCTCTTGGGCGTTTACCATTAGGTACAGCAAATATCAACCTTTTAGAAATTCTTTCGTTACTAAGCCCAACAATTTTACAAGCCCATTTGATTCTCCACGATGCACTCACCTCAATTATAATAACTGGATACAGTTCACACAACTCGGCGTTGTACAACATTCTGAACTCTCCGGTTAACTCATCCTTCTTCAGTCCGAATATTCTACGCAATACTTTATTTTCAAAAACCTTAAGACGTTGCTCATCTCTTAATGTAAGTGGCCACATTTCGCACCGATCAAGAACTGTAGATAGGATAATGGTTTTACAGGTTCTAGTCTTTAAATTCCGGGACAAGATGTGTGAGCTAAGTAGTTTTGTCAGAAAAATAACAAGCATTTCCCGCCTTCAGCCTAACCTTAATCTCCTCTTCAATTTCGTTCTTTCTAGTTATCGTAGAACCTAGATACCTAAATTTATCTACCTGTTCAAACATATTACCATCTATATCGATATCACCAGTAGTATCGCCATTTTTGCAGCTAACCATATATTTTGTTTTATCCACGTTTATTTCGAGTCCTAGTTCCTTACCGGCTTTCATTAACGTTGTCGTATTTAGTTTTATAGTTTCAACGTCTTCGCTTAACAGTACCAGATCATCAGCATAGCCCAGCACGGATGTTGTCCCGCCCAGATCCAACCCTTTCTCGGTTCGCATTACCTCCCTAATGGCATGTTCTAATGCCAAATTGAACAGGACAGGCGAAAGGGAATCGCCCTGTTTTAAACCCAAATGAACCTCAAACTTTTCGGATAAATTATTCCTGATTCTAACTTTATTGAGTGTTTCCATCAAGCACATCCTGACTAGATTTACTAATTTTTTTGTAATCCCCTGCTCAATTAGAATATTATACAGTTTCTGGTTGTCAATAGAATCGTAAGCCTTTTTGAAATCGATATACAGCTGGTGAACAACACCGTTGCACTCTAATTTTTTATCCAATATTTGTCATAAAGAAAATATTTGATCAATAGTCAAACGATTTTGTCTAAATCAGCATTGGTAGTCACCAATAATTTCCTCGGCCTATTCTGTGATTCGACTTGTTAAAAGTAAAGTGAATACTTTACAACATACTGGAAGGATTGAAATTCCTCGATAGTTATTACAATCCGTCCTCGCACCCTTTTTGTGAATTGGAATAGATTCTTCCATTCTTCTTGTGATTTCTCATTCACCCAGATCTTTTTAACCAACAGATGTATTTTAGAAACTCCAGCTTCCCCCCATGCCTTAATTATTTCACAAGGAATATTATCGGTTCTCGCTGCTTTATAAGATTTTAATTTTCCGATAGCTACTTCAACTTCCTCTTTACTCGCTTCTTCTATTAACGGTTCCACTCTCTAGTACTCAGAAGGAGAACATAGATCATAATTTCCCATATTTAAAATACTGTCAAAGTGGCTCTGAAACTTATTTAATATGTCTACCAGATGGGTCAGAATATTGTTATTTTCATCCCTAATTCAAGATGTGATGGGTTCTAAACATTTGTGTGATCTGTTTATACCTTTTTACATGTCTCTTACGTTATTTTCAATTCTATTAGTTTCTATTTCAATTATTTTATTTTTAAGATACTCCCTTTTTTTTATTTTTGAGCAATTTTGTCGTTTCATTCTTTGAGGTTCGGAAGTATTCCAGATTGTCTTCGCTAGGATTATTTAGAGCTTTTAATTTAGCGATTTTTTTTTTTTTTTTTTTGCACATGTTTAAGCTATCTTCATCAAATCACGGTTTGTTATTCTTATTTTCCTTTTTTCCTTGACATGAGTTACCTTACCAACTGCTTTAATATTATCCCTGATCTCTATCCATAACCTGTCAATATCCTTGTGGTCCTCGTCACAATGTTCTAGAGCTTCAAACCTATTGTTAACATCTAGCTCAAATTGAATTCTAATTGATGGATGTTTTAATTTTTCCAAATTAAAATTCTCGGAATCGAAAGGGTTTTCTTTTCTCCTTTTTATATTAAGTTTTTGTCGAAGTTTTGCGATAACTAATTCATGACCGACACATTCTACCCTGTGATACGACCGTACATTAATTATACTGCTTTGTCAGCTATGTTGTATCAAGACATGATCGATTTGATTTCGCGTTTGGGAATCCGGAGATGTCCAGGTGTATTTATGAATATCCTTATGTTTAAACGTAGTACTTTTAATTATCAGGTTTTTTGAGATGGCAAAGTTTATCAGGCGGATCCCATTATCATTACTATATTTGTGCAAACTTTCTTTACCAATTGTAGGAATATTAACTTCTTCCCTTCCCACCTTTGCGTTTGCTTCTCCTACAATTATTTTCATGGAGTTTCGCGGTAGCAGAGCCACGGCATCCAAATTATACATTAATCTCATTTGCGATCAATTTTAACCCCTCCTGCTTTGTTTAAACAACTTATGTTCCACGTATCAATATTCAAATCCCTATTTTTCAACTTGCACCATGAATCCCTTAAAGCAGCTCCCACCCAGAGACCCAAACGGAGGACTAGTTTATCTCTGGATAATGAGTGTTTTACCTTAGGGAGATCTATGACTATTTGTGCTGAATGGTGAACTAAAGATATGTGATTAGGACGTTCAATCCTTACGTCACACACTCTAGCAAGTCTGGTGGACCCCTGCCTCCAGCAAGCCTGGAGGACCCCTTTATACTCTATCTGAATTATATATTAATTTATAAGACTAGTTTATTTTGTTGAAGTAAATTAAAATTCGGGATACCAATACCTATTAAATCTTAGTTAATGTTGATTATTATTATCTTACATATGGATTCAAACTAACGATGTATATTTTTTTTTTCAGGTAAATGAAATTCATCATTGTACCTGGTTAATTTAGGTTTATTGTGTATATATATAAATATATATAAAATTATTTATGTTTAGCAAGTAGTAGTTTTCTATGTTGTCAGGCGATTATTTTTAGAATGTGAATTTACCAGAGAAAACAGCCTTAATTTAAATACTTCTTTTTCTTTGTAAAAGTTAGGTTCTACAGTTTACTGTAGTCAATATTTGTATATTTTAAATGTAAGCAGTTCCTTTTAAATAATTTAGTTTGCAATAATGTATGATATGTTATTTATTCAATTTATAGTTCATAATGGCTGTGTTTTGGTTGGATAACAGTTTATTACCAAAGCTAGAAAGCATTCCACCACTTCAGCCTCAGATATCCAAAAGAAGAATGTAATTTATTGATGAGGAATGACAGGCATTGATTAGATCTGAAGGCAGGCTAAACAGTTCATTGTTAAGTTACCTCCACTTTAAATAATATATTTTAGTGTAGTTTCCTCACAAATGAAAAAGGATGGGTAAAAAGTGTAGATATTGTTATTTTAACAAACAAACAATATTTTAACGTTTTTTTCAATATTAAAACTATTTTAGTGTTAGTGAGCATTGTTAAACAAATATATATGTATATATATATATATATATATATATATATATATAATTAAGAATTAATTAATATGGGATGAAGTGGTAATAGATATGTTCTAGTTTATATAGTTTGCTCTATGTATAGACAAATTCATTGCTACTAAGGATATAAAAGTAAATTATTAAATTAAGCAACAGGTTTCAAAATACTTGCTTAGAGTATGACACCAAATATTTATACTTTTAACCCACCTTAATCAAATAGGATGTAGTAACATGAAAATCCTACAAGATTATAAGAAAGTATTATTATTGTTTTATTTTATATACCTCTAAATGCTGTTAAACATATCACTGTGAATTAGTCATTAATTATTTAACAAATAATGTAAATAATTAGTTTAATTTATTTATGAGTGTGATGTTACGTTTATTTATGTAAGTATTTATATTCGCATTTCTTGCCATTTATACACATAACCACATATATGTGGACATATATGTAAATACATGCACTGACATTTAAAATCAGACAAACATGAAGATGTTTGTGACATCTTTATTAAGACAAACATAAATATGTTTGTGATAAATTTGTTAATATTCTTTGTTTTTGCATATGAACTTAGTAAACATTTTTTCTTATGTATGTAAATTTCAGTTGATTTAATTCAGATTATGATGTTTTATAACATTTTTGTACAATATGTATATCCTTTGAGTGTAAGTTTTTATTCACTCTTGACTGCAAAGATAAGATAAAATAAACTTTTATAAATATGTGATTATATTAAGAGATTATTTATTACATTTTTAAAGGCATTTTTCCTATAGAGTTTTAAATCTACAAAACTTTTGCTCATGGAGTATGAAATTGGAAGGAGATATATCCTATATTTGTGTATATAAATCTATATTTGTACCATATGTATGTTAGGATATTGAGGAGGTTATACCATCAAAGCCTCAGTATTAATTTAAAAAATAAGAAGAAGAAATAAATTATATTTACAGAAATATATATATATTTTTTTTTTAACTGATTCCCTTCACTTTTTCTTTTCTTAACTTCATTATGCTCCAGTTAAAAATTTTATTCCTCAGATAAAACTTAAGTTAAAGATATCTTATAGCTTTTGTCTTCTTTGATTCCTCAAAAAAAAAAAAATTGCGTTAATCATATTCTCCTCTACCAACTGCTGAACCATTTCTCAAATTGCTTTGACTTGTTCTATATAAGTGAAACACATGCTAAGTTTTTTCCTTTTTAACCCTTCAGTGATGGTGGACTCATCCAATTGAAACAGAATTGGGCCCAGATGATGCACAATGGTGCCGATTGCAAATAAAGCTGGACAAAAGTTCAAAAACAAAGATTGAAATTATGATGTCAAATGTTTAAATGCCATTAGCTAAGATGTTAGTTCATAAGAAAATCCATAAATAGCCCTAAGATAAATGTCAATAAGACACTTTGATAAAGAACTAACTAATACCTTTTCTACTCTGTTTGAGTTTGGACACAATATACTTGTTCAATCTTTAAGTTGTAAATAATATTAGGGCTTTGTGGTAATTTTTTTTACTGTGCCATGATGCAAATACAACAAGAAAGTTAATCAATATTTTTTTTTAATTATAGATTATTTTAGGCACTCAGAATTCAAGTCAAATAATAAGTTCACAAATTCAGAAAACCGTTCCACGTTTTGGTCTGCAACTTTTTTTCTACACCAGTCTGCGACCTAAATTTTGATTCATTGTGTCAAGCTACATGTTAACTTTGCAAACATATGAAACATATGCAAACAAAAAAAATGTAGCGAAAAATCACCCTTTTTAGCCCTGATTGCAGTAATAAGAATTATGTTCCTTATGGAAAGCTCTTATTTTCAGAAAACTAGTTAACTTAAGGCATTGAGAGAAGGAAACAATGTTTTTAACGACTAATCTATGAGGGCAACAATTATTTGAATGAGCATGCAAATTAAAAGTTATGTTTTAGGACAATTAATCAATGTTTTGAGCTTTTTTGATTTTTAATAAGAGATAGATTCTTAACAATAAGGCACTGAAAAGTTTATATAGTAAACCTAAACTCAGATGAGTTGATAATATTGGAATATCTTATTACTGCTATCCATCAAACTTTTTTTTAAAAATAATAATAAGGCTTTATTTTTTTATATACATTACATCATGTTATAATGATAAATTACATGTTTGTGGTTGCAGTAACCTTACACATGACATACTAGTGGTTTGAATGCTATTTAGAAAATTGAAATCCATTTTATAGTAGCAAAACCTCATAAAAACCTGCATAAGATATAAATGGAAAACTAGATTATAATCATTAAAAGTACAACAAAAACAAAATATAATTTACATACAAGAGAAACTATGTATATACATACTCACACAACACACATATACATATATATTCATATACAGTGTATATTATACACACACATCCTATAAATATAATTTATTAATTGGAATGATACAGTTTATTGTTACTTGTTTGTTAATATATAAGAATCGTTAAATTTTCATAAATAAACAGATTGATTTAGACGTTTAGTAGTATGTATCTAGTCCATCTGTGTGTATACCGTTTGAAAGATCTCTTGTCATAGTTTCCTGTTGTTTGGATCATAGGGTTTTCAGATGGTGTTAGCTCAAAAAATCTCTGTGTTTTAAAATAAATATATTATTTTATAGTGGGAAGCTGTAACTCTGATAGCATAATAGATATTTTGATATAACGTGGATAATTGTTTATGATTCTCATACCTATATTTTGAATCACTTCAAGTTTTTTGTAATTAGTCTCACATGTGTAACTCCATACTTGGGAAGAATAAATGATTAAATGGCGGATTACTGTTTTATATAAAATCATTTTATTCTTTATAGTCAATTGTGAATATCTATTGAAATATGGTGACATTTTGCTGATCATGTTTTTTTGTTTTATTGCATTTGTTATTAATATTTTGGGTGAAATTTACGGACCTATCAAGTTCTAGGCCTAAATATTTCACAGAGTTTGATCAAGGGATCTGTACTTCTTTTATGTATATATGATTTATGCGTGGTCTTCTTTTTGTAAAAATAATTGCTTCAGTTTTTTTATCGTTTATTTTTATTTTCCATTTTTCTAAATACTTGCAGAGTTTTATGAATTGGGATTGTAATCTGTTTGTTATAGTGCCGATTCTGAAAGAAGAGGTGTAGATAGCTGTATCATCTGCGTATAGACACTAGCGGATCCAGTCGGTGGGCTCACGCTCCTCCCTCGAAGCTAGAAAAAAAATTCCAAAAAGTAGCTATTTAAAGAAAAGAGAGATATAGGGAAAATTCATCCTCATAGACGATGAATTTAATATAAAAAAATTACTATCGTGACCAGCACAGGGAATTCGGCTAGGGGACACACCCTCCCTTGGATGGTGGAAAAAATTTCCAAAAAAGTGACAAAAACATCTATTTAAAGAAAAGAGAAATGTAGGAGTAATTCATGAACTGAGTCTCGCAGGTGAAATACATGATGAAGGAAAATTTATTAAAAAACAAAAAGAACTTCATTTATTCTTTCGGACAAGCTTTTATTCGAGCACAAGGAAATACGGGTTTTTTGCCGGACCCAATTTTTATTCATTTTCAATAGATCTGGACGCACTGCAACCTCCAACTTCTTTAATGGACTTTATTATGCAAAGTGATAAATCAAAAAAATATCTTTCATTCATCCGTTCAAAGTCTCCTTGACGAATCCGTGCGATTCATAAAACTGCGATTATTCGCGAAAGAAGATCGAAGGGGAGAGGCTTAGTTCGGATTTGGTGTGTAAATTTTTTTTTTTAATTTCTATGAACATTCGTATTTGAGGCTTTATAGAGGTGCGAAATACAAATCTCAACTCTGTTTTCCCTTAAAAAAATATTTAAACCCACTTTCCTCCTTCGGTCAGTACAAATTGTTTTAACGTCGTACTGATACTATAGCTATATGCCAAATATATAGTTATTTTCGAATAAAATGGGCTATAATAGAACTATCCTAATGAATATTAATCGAAAAGAATAAAAAATAATAATAAAATGAAAAAAAAATATTGAAAAAATTTCTAAACGATTATGATGTTTTTTTTCCCCTTTGCACGGAATTCAATAATCTTTTATATAATCATCGGCACAACCAAGGGAAAAGTGTTAAATTTTTTAGTTATTCGCTAATAACTAACAAATATTAGAGTCACGATAATAATTTGTATATTTCCCATTAGAAAGTGTTGTTTTTTTCTTAAAATAGCTGCTGTTGGGAACGTTTTCATGAAGGAAGGTATTAATTATTAGGTCTCCAATTTGATCGGAATCTGATTATGATCGGAATCTGATTATGATCGAAATCGGAAATTATTTTGAGTTTTTTTTTTTTTTTAGAGAACTCATTTACAAGCTGCAGGGCCATTCATAGTAATCTTTCTCAGATTTCGACAATGTCGGTAAAAATTTTCATAGTTTCAGCGTTCATAGTTCATGGTTATCGACTAAATCAATCAATCAATGTCTAAACCCATATACAGGGTGTCTCTTAAGAAGAAGGAAATATTTAAAGGATAGCATAACTCAATAAATACAAAAACGTTTTGATGGTTCGATTGACAGCAGGGAAGTAGGGTGTTAAAGTTTTGTGGTTTTTTGTGTACGTCATGTATTTTGTTGAATAGGAAGTGATAACAAAAAACTATTTAATTTAACGAATTAACGATTGTTTCACTGTAAACTAGAGACAATTTACTTTAAATAACAATAGAGTTTGCTTTTGTTAAAACCATTTAAAGAGGACCTTTGAGCGGCTAAACTCAGCTAAGGAGTGGGGGGAGATGGGTAGTGCTGGGGGAATAGGTAGGGGTGAGGGAAGCCCCTGGTACAGAGGTTCGCCCCCTCCCCCTGAGAAAATTCCTGGATCCGCCACTGCATATAGGGAGTATTTTACTGAGAGCGTGGTAGCTCAGTGGGTAAGCACTGACTTCCAGAACTCAAGGTCCTAGATTCGAATCCCGA